AAGGCCCCTGTCTCAGTCTCTATACAGAGTAGGTGCTTGTGTTTGCTAAACCTAATTCATCTTTCAGTAATACTATATTCTATTCCACTAAAGGGATATAGCAAATGATTTTATCTTTTTTAATATTCATTTAAGTTTTTTCTGGGGGGGGCTACACAATGGGGTTAAGTGACCTCCCTAGGGTCACACAGTTAGTGAGTATTATGTGTCTGAGGCCAGATTTGAACTCAGGTCCTCCTGACTCCAGGGCTGGTGCTTTATCCACTGTGCCACCTAGCTGCCCCTAAAAAAATTTTTAAGTTACAAATTCTCTGTCTCCCTCCAGCTCCTCCTCCAACTACTGAGGACAGCAACATGCTGCACATTATAAATGTGAAGCCACGTAAAACATTTCCATATTGATCATGTTGTGCAAAAAGAAAAGGCAAGAAAAATTTAAAAAGTAAAACAAATGTGCTTCAATTTGCCTTCAAGAGTTCATCAATTCTCTCTGGAGATGGATACATTTTTCACTATGAGTCCTCTGGAATTGTCATGGATCACTGTCTTGAACACAGTAACAAAGTCTTTCATAGCTGACCATCACTAACAGTATTGCTGTGACTGTGTATGATATTCTGGTTTTGCTCACTTCACTTTGCATCAATTTGTATAAGTCTTCTCAGGTTTTTCTGAAACCATCCTACTTGTCATTTCTTATACCACATTAGTATTACATCACAATCATATACCACAATTTGTTCAGCCATTCTCCAATTAATGGGTATCCCCTCAATTTCTAATTCTCTGCCACCACAAAAACATTAAATAAACATTTTTGTATATATAGGTCTTTTCCTCTTTTCTTTGATCTCTTTGGAATACAGGCCTAGGAGTGGTATTGCTGGGTCAAAGAATATATACATAGCTTCACAGTCCTTTGGGTGTAGCACCAAATTGTTCGTCCAAATGGCTGGACCAGTTTACAACTCCAACAACTGAGCATTAGTGTCCCTGTTTTTCCATGCCCCCTCCAGCATTTGTCCTTCTCCTTTTCTGTCACGTTAGCCAATCTGATAAATATGAGGCGGTATCTCACAGCTGTTTTGAATTGCATTTCTCTAAGCAACAGTGCTTTAGGGCATTTTTCACGTGACTATAGATAGCTTTGATTTCTTCTGAAAGCTGCCCATCTATATCCCATCTATATCCTTTTACCATTTATCGACTGGAGAATGGCTTGCATTTTTATAAATTTGACTCAGTTCTCTATATACTTGAGAAACGAGACCTTTATCAGAGCAACTTGCTACAAAAGTGTTTCCCCAGTTTCCTGTTTTCCTTCTATTTTAGCTGCATTGGTTTTGTTTGTGCAAAAACTAATTAAAAGTTTAATGTAATCAAAATTATCCATTTTGCCTCCTGTAATCTTCTCCAGTTCATTTGGTCATAAAAGCTTCCCTCATCCATACATCTAGGAGGTACATTTTTTCATGCTTCTATGATGTGCTGATGTCACCCTTTACATCTAAATCATGTACCCATTTTGACTTTACCTTGGTATATGGTGTGAGATGTTGGTCCACTTTCTCCCAGACTACTTTCTAGTTTTCCCAGTAGGTTTTGTTGAATAGTGAATTCTTACCCTAAGAGCCTGCATCTTTGGGTTTATTAGGTTCTTGTGATTATTTACTTCTACACACAGCATACCTTATCTATTCCACTGATCCCCCAACTCTATATCTTACACAGTACTGGATTATTTTAATGATTACCTGTTGTAGCATAGTTTGAAATCTGGTACTAGGAGGCTCCCTTCCTTAAATTTTTTTGCATTCATTCCCTTGATATTCTTGACCTCTTGTTCTTCCAGATAAATTTTGTTATTATTTTTTCTAGCTCTATAAAATAATTCTTTGGCAGTTTGACTGGTATGGCATTGAATAAGTAAATTAAGTAGAATTGTCATTTTTATTATATTGGCTCAGCCCACCCATGAGCAATTAATACTTCTCCAACAGTTTAGATGTGTCTCTATTTGTGTGAAAGGTGTTTTGTAAATTCTTTGATACAGTTCCTGGCTGTGTCTTGGCAAGCAGACCCCTAAGTATTTTATATTGTCTGCAGTTATTTTTAATGGAATTTCTCTATCTCTTCCTACTGGATTTTGTTGATAACACATAGAAACGTTGATGACTTTTGAGGATTTATTTTATATCCTACAACTTTGCTAAAGTTGTTAATTGTAGTTTTTTAGTTGATTTTCTAGGATACCATAAGCATACCATCATATGATTTGTAAAGAGTGACAGCTTTATTTTTTCATTGCTTATTTTTACTCTTTCAAGTGTTTTTATCTTAAAGGCTTACTCAATAACCTTTTCTCCATTTCAACGGAAGAATACATTCTGAAAGGTTTAAATATTACTTGCCCCGAGTGTCTACTAGAACAATTCATGAAATCAATTAGAAAAAAAAGGCAGAAGAACAATAGCTGCGCCCTGGACAGGTATGCTATCCTCATCTATGATGAACCTACATCACTGATTCCACAAACATTTCAGCATATACCATATGCAACAAACAACTCAACATCGCAAATCCAGGTATCTAAAATATACTCTCTCCACAATCAAATTCTGAATGTATCAAGCCATCTTTTAAAATATTTTTATTCAGAGTTTCATTTCAGCCCCGAGGCTGTCTTCCTCAGTTGATAAAAAATGAGGTCTTCCAATGTAACTAAACCAGAATAATGGGATACCTTCACCTTATTAGTTATAAAACACACAGTCTGGCACATTCTAGGTGCTTAATAAGTCAATATTTGTTGATTGATCCTCTCTTAGTGGTACCAGAATTAGGGCCAAACAAAATGAAATCTAAACACAGACAGATACACACACCTGTCAAGTCTTTGTATCCAAGCCTCTTCTGAAGGGAAGCACGCCAGTAGTGGTACATGAAGAAAGGGCAAACACAGGGGACCTATCTGTGTACAGCAGCTGGTTCTCTGGCTATTGCTGAGTCTAAAAGCACCACAGTAGCAGCAGCTATTTAGGTCAAAAGGGGAAGAAGGACACTGAATCTTGCAGCCACAAAAGAGAACCAATTAAGAAGGCTGACTGTATTCATCTAAACCAGATTTTACCTGGGATACTGATTTCTGTGACAGCTCACTAGATCTCCATTATCTCTCATACCAAAGTAAAACTTTCAGGAGGAGCCCAATACACACAAAGCCCACTTGAGCTCAATTTTTACTAAGATTACTTCTTGTAATGCTCTTTTTTTTTAAGCATTCCTTGAAGATCCCCTTCTAAGTTCTCACCCAGTATGGTTCTAGATGGCCTGACAAATCTAGTGGTTATGAGAAACACAAAGCAGCATTCACATGGCTACCCTGACCATTTTCAGAAGTTCAAGGCTGCTCTGAAAAGCAACAGCTCTCCGTGAGAATTAAAAAAAAAAAAAGGTTTCTTCCTAACTGCACAGGTAGTGATTACCTTTCAAATGAGAAAACATAGGCCAAGTTTCATAACCCGAAAGTGCAATGTAAATGTGAGCTAGGATCATCAGCGCACTGAGATACTCCATCTTTAGATGATAAATGGATCCAACCCAATGTTACATCTGATGTCTTAGAGCGCGAGTACAAGATCCAGCGAACACCTAAAACAGGGCCATTCCTATCTGCGGCCTTCTCTTGTAAAAGCTAATTCTTTGGTAGTCTGAGGCAGGCCTTTTGCCTTGATTAAGGCTGCAAACACATTTAAAAGGTTTACTCAGCCTAGCTTCCGGGTGAAAAATGTAAAACTTGTAGAATTCAAGCCTACCTGTGGCATACAATCACATTTTTATTTACTGCCCTCATCAAGGTTTTGGGAACAAGAAATGCAGTTGTCTGACGACTAAGACTATCATCCATGTAAAATGGGACCTGGGACTAGAGCTAAACATTTTCCTAATTAACAAAATTGCATGTAACATTCCTCCATATAAACTATATCCTTCAGAGAGCCTGAAACATCCAGAAAAGCTCACCCTTAGCCATGATAGCCAGCTATCAAATCTTTTAGTAACAACCGTGAAAAATCTTCAGCTCTCCTCTTCTGGAGCTGCTTGGGGTCATGGAGTCTGAAGAGCTGGGGAAGAGTTTGGATGGGCCAACTCCAACACAGGGATCTCCTCAACCATGTCTCCAACAAGTGGTTTTTCAGCTCCTCTACACTGGTAGTGGAAAGAAAACTAATTCCCCCTCATTTGACAAGTGTATGACATCTCTAAAATAGCTCTAGCTGCTAAAAAGTTCTTCCTTGTAATGAGCCAACGTCTTCTGTCTTCCCGGCACTGCTGACTTTTGCCCCTGGAACCACAGGAAATGTGTCTGCCCCATCTGGTACTTGTCAGCCTTTTAAATACTGAGAGACAGTTGTCCTGCACCCCTCCCCCAAGTCCTTTCTTTTCCAGGCTCAGCACACCCAAGTCTTTCAAACTGCTTTTTCTGATGACGTGGGTGAGATTCTGGTTGCCCGTCAGCGCTTCTTCGTGTTCTGACTAGGCCAGAGTACAGTCTGGAGGCCTGGAAACTGGACGTCTGGTAAAGCAGTTTAAGACTGGAGGAGCCTCTGTGGGCAGTCAAGCTCTGCTACCGATTCCTACTCAAGCCTACACAAATCTGTACCTGTGCGGCTTTTTAAATATGTCTATTCCTGTTTTCCTGGGAGCAGCTTTTTTGTCATATGCTTCCTAACTATGGGCTCCTTAAGAATGAGGTTTCTGTTCTATTCATCTCTGTATTGATTCTATTAACTAGCCCAGTGTGTTACCCGCCCTAAGTGATTAATACATATTTATTTCAGATCACTGAATCTGCTTAACAGTGATAGTAATAGTGGAATAACACGACTCACAGTTAATATCTAAAAACAGATACCAGAGAAGAGGGCTGTCTACTAAAATTGGCTATTACTTGATGTTATTTGGGAGAAGAAAAAAAAACACCCAAGAATAGAACTTACCTGATGAACCTGAATTTCCACTTTAAGGGCCTCCTGTAGAGTCTGCAACTCCATCCTCTAACTTCTCCACTTTTTCTAATGTTTCTGCTAATTCTACAGTTTCTTCAGTCTTTGTTCAATATGATAAATGTCTTCTCACTGCAGCTGCAGACCACAAAATTTTCCCGTTACATTTGATACAGAAACATATTGATAGTTGCAGTATAAATACCAAAAACACAAACTTGCCTAACACAGGATAAATTCCACATTTAACATTAACTTTCCTAAAAGTTAAGAATTTAGCATAGACAGAATGGATTCCTATGAACTAGTGAATTTATTCTTGTGAACATTATAGTGTTCCAATATACTTCCTTAAACACTTCCAGTTTTCAATGGCAGTCTCTCTCCCTGCACTTAAACACTATATTAAGCAAACTTCAAAATATTGTCATCTGGGGAAGGCCAGCTCAGAGACGGAAACCTCTTATGCATTTCTATTTGTGAGGCCAGGGGAAAAAAAAGTGTCATATATTCAACTGTTTCACAGAGGCAGGGTGTTTGGAAGAGAGATTAGAAAGAGAGGAGGGTTATAGCTGGATGAAGGGGAGACCCCACTAATAAAAGAGACAAAAGAACACTCCTGGGCAAATACTCCTAAAGCCCAGAACTCTGGAACAACTGTACATACATGAAATTGCTAGAACCATTAAATATTGATTTAAAATGTTAAAAAAAACTTATGCAAAGACTGCTGGAATACATGTAATAGTCAATTTTCAAAAATCTGATCATTTTTGATACTAAAAGGGCTCAAACTAGTATTTTATAGTTCCCTTTTTACTTGGTGTTTTAATTAAGTATACAGAAAAATCAAAATAGTTTTATTTTAACTAAAAATTGAGGTTGTATTTTTGTGTTTCCTTTGAAAATAAGTTTTGAAATTTAACTAAAAATGTTTCTGTAACATTTCTGCTGATCCAAGTTCTAAACTAGGGCTGAGGAGGAAGAGATAGCTGTGGTACATACGAAGGGGTGCTGAATCTGGAGTGAAAGCACCAGGATATTAATTATGGCTTTACTATGTATTACTATGTGTGTGACCTCTGGCAAAGTAACGCAGCCTCTCTGAGTCTCAGTTTCCTCATCTGTACAATATGACTATGGGACTAATTGATCTCAAAAGTCAGAAATACCCATTAAAAAAGTCTCGACCCCCTCAAAGTTCAATTTCTTCTATACTGAGAGTAGCAATTAGCATCACACTAATTAGTGAACTATCAACCAGCTCAACTTCTGTGTCCTGAAAATGGACAGCGGCTCTAAAAATGTGGAAGGAACGGTGAAGGAGCCATCGGCAAATTTCATGTACCCAATGCATTCCTTGGCAAAGGAAAAAATCAGGCTTAACATGGAAGTTCTGTATGTTGATGACAAGCCTGCAGCACGTGCTGGTACTCTGGTCAGACAGCTCCCTGCTTCAGAGACAAAACACAGGGAGGGACATCGACTTGGCAAAGATTATAAATGCTAAGCGCTCATCTCACTTAGAAACAAAATGAATGGTTTCAAAAAGTAACAGCAAAGGGGCAGCTAGGTGGCGCAGTGGATAGAGCACCAGCCCTGAAGTCAGGAGGACCTGAGTTCAAATCCGACCTCAGATCAAACACTTGCCACTTACTAGCTGTGTGACCCTGGGCAAGTCACTTAACCCCAACTGCCTAAAAGCAAAAAAATAAAAATAAAAAAAAGTAACAGTAAGAATACTAGGAACTAAGAGGGAGTAGAAAGTTCATTTCAAATCCTTCTTCCTGAAAGAGGCCTAAGTTCCCATCACTTTTCGCCCTCAGGCAGCACAGATCCAGAGCCGGAAGGAACCTTGCAGGGCATCTCATTAAACACTTTCTTCTTGTAAAGGTGGAACCAAGGCCTAGAGAAGGTAGGTGGGTCATCCAAGTCCCGCCAGGAATAAGGGGCAGATGGTGCATATCTGAATCTGAACCCTCCAACTCTAAATCCGTTGCTCTTTTTCTTGTACCGTCCTCCTTCTCTGACTAGTGAACAAAACGAATACAAATGTTCTTAACTGCCACAAGACCAAAACAGTATGAATGGAGCCCTCTTAAAGTAAAAATGTTTTAAAGTTTAAATAACTCATTTTATTTTGGCCTGCTTATTGTATAACAAAGAATGTATTCTTTACTAAATTCATTAAAGACAATTTATAAATATAATTTGTTCCAAGAGAAGCTCTAGTTTGACCATTTTTAATATTTTAAAAGCAACAAATGTGATGCTTTAAGGTGAACCTAATCATGGTCACAGAGTAGGTGCAACGCATTAAGGCATGGTGCCTTTTATCACCCAACACAAACATCTCTCTGATTATGCAAACAAATATTACTCTCTGTGATAAATTCATTTAAAAAATGAAGTAGCACCAATCACGATGCCTAAACTATTCTTTTTTTTTTTGAAGTTATTCAACATTGGCATTTAGCTGATAAGGTTGTAGAATCTCTACTTTAAGATCTACAGTGAGAGAAACTGAGGCACAGCATGAACTAGTGGAGACAGAGGGAGGAGAGGGAGAAAGGGAGAAAAAGAGGGAGACAGAGAAGGAGAGAAAAAGGGAGAAAGAGAGCGCTGACCTTAGACCCCAGAAGACCAGGGACCAAGTCTCACTTCTTGACACACACTAGCTGGGAGATCAGCAGGCAAGCCACATAATCTCTCAGTGTCCTAGGAAACTCTCTAAGACGGGAGTTGGAGAAGAAGGACTGGCATCTTGGCATTCTCTATTCAGAGCTGAAAGGCACCAAAGCTAGGATTTTTTCATTCTGAGCGACGGTTTTACCTTGTATTTCTAAATGAACAGAATCACTTTTCCCACTCCATGAGTGGGAGTGGCACTCAGGCTAAAGACTGGGGCTAGAAGGAGAGACAGAGGAGGAATGATTAGAAGGGGTGATAATTAAATCATAAGTGATGATGCTGCAAAGACTGCAGAAGAGGGCCTAGGACAGAACTGTGGACTATACCCACAGTAAGGAAGGGGGCATGTTAAGTCAGCAAAGGGTCGAAGAAAGAGCAGTACAACAGGCAGGAGAAACAGGAAACAGCAGTGTCACGAAAACCCAGAAAATGAAAGAGAAAAGAGTGGTCAGCAACATCAAATGCTACAGAGACAGTGAGAAGGAGGCCTGAGAAGAGGTCACTGGAATGGCAATTGTGAGATCATGGGTAGCCTTGAAGAGAATGTATCAGTTGAGGGAGGAGATCTGGAAGTCAGACTGCAGCTGGATAAGATGAGAGTGTGGGGAGAACAAGGGCAGGGACCTAGTATAGACAGATGGCTGAGAAAGGGAGCAGAGCCTTAGCAGGGATGGTAGGCTCAAATAATACCTGGACTACCTCTTTACAGGGTCTCAGCAAAGTGTTTGTAGAACTTTGAGTGCTATATGTAAATGGGCTTTAATTATTACGCTTCCTCATTAACACTGTGTGCTTCAACACTTCTTACTCAGGTGCTCCCTCCCTTTTAGTGGTGATGTTCTCAACTATCCCAAGCTTCCTCACTGGGCCAAGATCATGTTCTTCTCCTTACACAAGCCCTCCAGAGAGGCTCTCCCTAGTGTCTACCCAAGGCTCCCTCTGACCTTTGTCTACCTGTGGGTACCAGGGCAGCAGTCAGGCTATCCATCTGTAATTTCATCTTTTCACTATATGACTGGCCTGCCTTTTTTCCAATCACACATTTATGGCTAATATTCCTTATATTACATCTTGAACATCACTGGTAACATTCTGCAAGTCTATTATACTTGTGTCGTCATGTATCTTTCTACTGCCTTTTGGGTCATCTGTAATTTTGATTCTTTGAAGACTGTCTCACACTAAACAGCTATACACCACTTGGAAAATACTAAGGCCTAAAAAAAACATGGGGTTTTGTGTCTGGCAGCCTCTTGGAATGAATGAAAGTGGTGTCCAATTTTCCATATACAAACTAATCTCCTTTCTTCTTAATTCAATTCTAGATGAAGTTCATTGTCCATATGCAGAGCCAATCCCAGGTGCAGTTGCTGAGAGTCAACCCTAATGAACTGTCTGTGTCACGACACTTCAGAATCTGGATGACATGATTTTTCATACATTTGGTTTGTCCTGTGTGGATTGTCAGGTCGAGCTCTCAAATGGTCATGAGCTGAGGCCCTGTATCATTCCAAGGCTGATGCAATCGGCACGAGATCAAGCGTAAACCACAACACCTGGAAGGCCTCCCAATCTACAGGGAATGTCCCTCCACGACAGGAGCCTCCGAGCTCTGGGCCTGATCTGACGCTGGTAATCAGAAGACCAATGCACAGACCTGTGGCTGCCTCTATCAAGGAACCCTGTATGATCTCCCCAAGTGCACAGGAGACAGCTTACTAGAGGGCAACTGGTGAAACTCAAAACACACAGGAAGATTTTGTAGCCTCCACATTTCTCAAACTGTGTTACTGCAAAGATGGGGTCTCTGGTAGAAAATGGCTTATGTGGGTATAGCTATACTGCCCTCATATTTTCATCAAGGATACCTTTGCTACAAGCAAACTCTGTTCTCAAAGATTTTACAGAAACGGAAAGTAGACATCTAAAGCACACAGGAGTTACTAATGTCCTCCTGGGTACTTTTTTGGGGGTAATAACGTCATTCTTTTTCTTTCTCAATCATTTGATATTTTCCCCTCGTTGAAGTATGTCTAAAATCAGTCTTGATGCTTTCAAAACTGGTTGCCTCACGCAAGATTTCTCGTGTATGTCCCTGGTCTAGCAACCAGCTGTTCTTCTCAATTCCATCTTCCTAAATAACATTTCTATCTTTTCACAGAATACCTTGGGTATTAAGGAGTTATGAGTTCAAAGACAGTAGTTCTACTGTCATTAGTGGTTAGAATGGATTGTTACAGAAACAATGGCAAATTAGTCCTACTTTCCATGTATTTCAGGGGTTCTTACCCTGGAGTCCATGGGTTGATTTCAGAAGGGGTGCATTAATGTGGAAGGGAAAAATTACATCTTTATTTAAATATAATTGTTTTCCTGTGTAACCCTATATAATGTTTTTTGCATTTAAAACCTGATTCTGAAGAGGAAGCCAAAGGCTTTACCAAACTATGAAATGGGTAAATCATACAATGAGGTTAAGAAGCTGTGTATATGCTGTCCTCTCTCCAGTTTCATCTGTAAAAGCTCTTGGGATGATCTGCCATCAGTTATTATTACTATGAAAGATTTAAATAATCCTTATTGTACAAATGTCTTAATAAAACAACATAAAAAGACTGAACAATGATGATAATTGACATATATATAACACCTTAAGGTTTACAAAGTATTTTACACATATTAACTTATCTGATCCTTACAATGGATTGTGAGGTAGGTCCTACAGGTCTGATTATCCTCATGTTAAAGGTAAGGAAAAAGGCTCAGGTTCAATGACTTGCCCACAGTCAATACTGTGAGTAAAACATCAAAGGTAGGACGTGAATCTGGATCCCAATTCACTTTAACGCCAGCACTCATTTCACTATGTTACCTTTTGATATGATTTCTATGTTTATCAATTAGCAATTTTTCAATATTTCAAATATTCTGATAGAGTTTTAGAGTATATCAAAAATACTACAAAAACCACAGAATGTCCACTCTTGATCTGAAGGCTAGTTATGGTACAAATACCATACCTTAGTTTTAGAGTTATAAATGGTAGAGACAGATAGTTGTTAAAAACAATAACAACTCAGCTGGTTAAAGCATTATTACCAAAACAGTGTTTCAAATCACACTATTTTACCAGAAAAGTCCTCAGTGATGAACCCCAGCAAACTAAGCTTTTCCCCCCAGCCACGTTTCTTCTCTTCATGGAGTACCATTATACCTTAGATCTTCCACTTGCTCCCCTCCACCCTCACCTCCCATCAAGTCATGTCCTCCTATCACCATTAGAAAGAGACTCCAACTCAGTCCCTATCTTGGCTGTGAATAATTACTACTCAACAGTAATAGTAGTAATAGCAGGCTCCTCAGCTTAACCTCCTAGACCACCACCCTTCCTGGATCCTGTGACAGGAGCATTCTTCTCTTTTCTCAGCTATCTGATTGGAGCTAAGTGTACTGTCAAAAGCATACCAACCAAACTGCTGACTCTTTGCACCAATTGCTACTGGACATGGGGACACCTTCCACCCCAACAGGTGCATGGAAGATGAAATGTACAAGTATGCCATGTAACGGAAAGAGCTGGAAAGCAATGGATTAGAGCATATTCTAGTGAGGACAAGGTCTCAGGATGACTCACTTCCAAGTGAAAGACTCTTTCATGACCACTGGCTGTACTGCAAAGCCTGGCACCTTACAAAATATATGTCCTAAATTGCAAGGGTAAAGGGACATGTTTCCCTTAGCACAACCCATCATTACTGCTAAAAAGAAAATTCAAAGTTAAAGGAATGTTTCACGAGATAATGGTGATTAGGGATATAACACGGTGATTATGCTTCCCTCCACTTTCAAAGCACCATACCTGGGACAGAGTGGCACTCTACAACTGTACAAAACTCAAAGGAGCTCTCCAACTTTCGTATTAAGTCACTCACCATTTAACAGAGAACAAAAAAGAGGATCTCTCTGTCAGTAGCCTGTCAAAGGTCTAACTTTCCTGACTGGATTACTGGTTGCAGAAGTCCAAGTCTTTTTTTTTTTTGGGGGGGGGTTGTCAAAATGTATCTTTCAAAAAGAGATGATATTCCTTTGATCCTTAGCCACTAAACTGTTCTATACAAATTATAAGGTCTTAAGTTAGACATGCAAAAAGCTAACTGCATGGTGACTTAAAAGGTGGTTTTTTTTTAAATTTAAAGTAGGTTTAATTTTTTTTTTTTTACTAAAAGACATATACTATTACCTTTCTCCTCTTTTTTCTCCTCAAACTTTCCCTTCATTAGATACAATACAAGTACAAACACTCAGAAATTCAATGCTATATACAGGGTCAATGCAACACAAAGTTAAGAACATAAATGCTTAAGAGGCAGGAATTTCCAAGTCCCACAATTATGGTAGCCTAGCCATTTTGCACATAAATTAAAGTCCTTACATTTAACATCATATTAAGTAATACAAACACAATGGAGACCTTAACTTTTGAATTTTCTGACTTTTCAATTCTCAAACTTAACTGTTACATTAAAGACATTTTTGGCAGAGAAGACCTTTACATTTTAACAGGTTATCAACCATAGGAGCATGCCAGGCTCGCAGTATTATTGGAAATACAAATGCATCTGAGATATGGCCATGTAAAATTAGACAAGAATTCACTTTCACTCAGTGCAAAGAGCAAAGCTTTATTTCTGGGAGAAAGGTCTTTACAAAAATATACTAAATATCTTGGATTATTACTCATCAGCAATACTTACCAACTTTCAGAAAAGCCAGCTTTCCTTCAGCTCTCTGGTCCCCCTATCACAGAAAAAGGACAGAAAAAATTAGGCTACAGCACAGATTCATGGTATGAAAGCAAAAGCTTAAGGCTTAAGGAGTAGCATCTAATTTTGAGAAGAAAAACATGCAACAAAATTTTAAAGATAAGAAAAGACAATTAAAATAGATACAATAAGAAAAAACCCAAGGGTACTTTAAAACTTCCTTCTTTCTAAAATTAAAGAAAAATCAAGTAGCTGAGGGTTTCTTTAGCCCAGAAAGTACTAAGAAATGGAGTATACTTTGTATCCCTTTAGTTAGATTAAACAAATAAAAACATACTAGTTAACCCAGCCTCATCTCCAACTAATGACCTTGTTTGTTACTTTATGATTAAAAACAAAAAACCATTAAACCAGCACAGGTAAATCTAAACAGACACCAGCTCTCCTCTCACTTCTGAATTATAGAAGATGGGGACTGACTGTTATCAGTATGTGCACGCAACTAATTCAGGATTTTAAAATCTGTAACATAATTAGGTAAAGATATACTCTGAGTTCACACGCGCGCACACACACACACACACACACACACTGAGAACCTAAATCTCTTCAGTCTCTCATTTTTTCATTTCTGAGATTAAAGCAAAATTCAAAAAAAATGATTTTGTTTAAGGTATGTGAACCTAGTGAGCAACCAAGTCACAAGAGAACTTTGGACCTGTGAGTCACTAGCCCTGCGTTCAGACTGTAAACACTTTTTTCCACTTCCAAACTCTACAAGTGTCACTAATTTTGTTAGACTCTTTGGGACTTTTATGCCACGCTGATGTCAAGGTCAGAAAAAGCAGCCTTTTAAAGGCAATTAGCAAAAAATCTTTTGCTTTGTTTCATCCTAATTTTTTAACCTGAAACAGTTTTATTTTTCTTTAATGCATTTTATACAAATTCAAGAGTTATCATCATTAAAAGTTATCTTTCTGATGATCTGTTAATAGTAAATTACTCAAATCTTCTACTCTAGAGGTGCCAAACATGGCTGCCCCAGCACTCCTTAATGCAGCCCAAACAAGGTTAAGATATAATTGGGAAATATTTAACAAATAAATAAAAACACAGCATAGTAGAGTGAATATTACATTTTAAAACTAAATCAATATGCCACCCTCAGGGATCCTTCCGTAGGGATTAGTGGTTCCTGGTCCTATTTGAGGTGGACACCACTGGTCTACTCCATACTCCTAGACTAGACATACAGGTCTGGATGGCAAGGACTTCTTGATATTCCCCTAAAGCAGAGTGTATTACGGGGGGGGGGGGGGGGGGAGAATTGTCTTTATTTAATTATTTAAGCAGATTCAAAAATTTTTAAATAAAATAGCCACTTTCAAACAAACAGCAATCATTCCCTACCCAAAGTCATCTATTCCATCGTTCCATTCCATTTTTATTTTTCTTTATCAGCCCTTTTCAAAGTTTTCAGGTCTTCTAAGAAAGATATAGATGGTTATAATTTAGCAGTTTTAAATAGAGACTAACTCCAGGTTTGGATCAACTATTGATTATTTGCTGTTTACTATAAACTTAATTTACAATAACAGTAATAACAATCATAATAATCACAATAATAATAGCATCTATGTAGTGCTTTAAGGTTTGCAAAATACTTCAGAAATATTTCCTCATTTGATACAACAACCTCTAGGAGGTAGGTGTGATTATTATATCCACTTTACAAACGAGGAAACTGAGGCAGAGTAGTGAGGTGCCTTGCCCAGGGTCACACAGCCAATAAATATCCGGGGCTAGATGTGAACTCAGGTCTTCTGACTCCAAGTCTCAAGCTCTAGTCTCTGTGCTAAGAGGAGCTATATAAGCAGCTCTTTCTGCAGTAGCAAATGTAAATTGGAGAATGGCTGAACAAGTCGTGGTATATGAATGTGATGGCATACTGTTGTGCTATAAGAAATGATGAGCAGGTGGATTTCAGAAAAACCTGGAAAGACCTATATGAACTGATGCTGAGTGAAGCGAGCAGAACCAGGAGAAGGTTGTACACAGTAGCAGCCACGTTGTGTAATGACTGACTTTGATAGACTGGGCTCTTCTCAGCAAAGCAAGAAGGATCTGTGACAACTCCAAAAGACTCATGATGGAAAATGCTGTCCACATGCAGAGAAAGAACTATGGAGTCTGAATGCAGATCAGAACATATTATTTTCACTTTTTTTGTTTTGTTTTGTCGTTTTTCCCTCTTGTTCTGTTTCTTCTTTTACAACATGACTAATATGGAAATACATTTAACATGATTGCACATGTATAACCCATATCAGATAGCTTGCTGTCTTGGGGAGGGGAGAGAGGGAGAAAAAACTGAAATTCAGAATCTTATAAAAACTGAATGCTGAAAAAAAGGTGAGTGGAAAGGTCCAGATCATGAGAAATGTGAAGAGCGGTAGATCACTTTCACATGGGGTAACAACATAAGAAAAAAGACGAGGATTCATGAAAGACTTGGTACCTGAAATGTGCCTTGAAGGAAGGGAGGAACTTCAAAAACTGAACTTTGGTAGGTGGGATGGTCTATTCTCGGAATGAGATGGGAATTCCATGAGCAAAGGCTTGGAGATGAAAGAGAAAAGACTGAGAATCAAAGACTAGTCCCACTGGCTTAAAATATTGATTCCATGCATGGAAATGGTATGGGATAAGGACAGAAGGGTAGTTTAAGCCAGACTGTAGGGGCAGCGAGGTGGTACAGTAGATAGAGCACCAGCCCTGCAGTCAGGAGGACTTCGGTTCAAATCCAGCCTCAGACACTTGACACTTACTGGTTGTGCGACCCTGGGCAAGTCACTTAACCCCATTGCCTAGCCCCCAAAAAACAAACAAAAGAAAAAAAAAACAGATCGTGGAGGATCTTGAAGGCCAGAATCAGTAGTTTCTATCTTATTCAGTAGGCAAAAGGAAGACACTAAAAAGAATTTAGAAGAATGATATAAACAGTGATACATTAGGAAAATTAATTGTGTGATGAGTAATCTAAAAGGACTAAAGAGTCTACACGTGTGAAAATATTATGGCTTAAACAAAAGCAGCTGAGAGAAGGCAGAGGTGATAAAACACAGCAACAGACAACAAACTGCCTGAATTTGTGATTTATTAGGTAGTGTCCGAGTTGATTCCGCGGTTATGAGTTACAGAGGCAGTGCCATCAAGAGAAATCATCTATCTAGAAGATTTGGGAATGGGACTGGGGGGGGGGGCAGAAGCAGGGAGAGAGATGAGTAGGTCAGTTCTGAGGTCTTAGGGGCTCCATCGAGGTGGAGATAATTCAACAGAAAAGTTGGGAAAATGGGACCAAAATTCTGGGAAGAGGGTGGAGATGGAGATAAAAATGTCAAAGTCATTTGCATAAGGCTGATAACTGAAGCTTTTAGGAATGAACAAAATCATAAGGGGAGAGAAAAGATCAAGGAAGGAAACTACACTGACACCTACATTTAAGGTCTAGGATGAAAATGAGAAACCAGCACAGGAGACCAAAAAAGTGCATTTGGAAAGATGGATGAGGAACTAGGAGGGTCCTGGGGGCAAAATTTTGTATGAAGCAACATGGCATGGAGAAAAGAGTGCTGAACTTGGAGTGAGAGAACCAGGTTCAAATCCAGACTCTACCACTTCAAAGCTGGTGTAACCTTAAACAAGTTCATCTCTCTAGGTCAGAATCTCCTCATTTGTAAATGAATGAGTTGTACACTAAATGGTCTCTAAGGTCCCTTCCGATTCTATATCTATTTTCCTATTATCCCAACATAACCTTAACTGAAAAGTTGTAGAGAATAAATCACACAAGGAGGATATATTCTATCTCCAACACATTTTCTTGCCAATATTTGGTGCCAGGGTTAATCTTTTTAACTTTTATAATTCAATTTATTTGTTTCTCTCTAAGTTCAAACAGGTCAACTAGGTGAAATTTCCTCTCAAAGTGTGATGATGGTGGCACAGTGCATAGAGTTCAGGGCCTAGAGTCAGGAAGACTCATCTTTCTGAGTTCAAATCCAACCCTTAGACACCCAACTAGCTGTGTGACCCTGGGCAAGTCACTTCACCCTGTCTGTCTTGGTTCCTCATCTATAAAATAAGCTGGAGAAGGAAATGGCAAACCACTCCAGTATCTTTGCGAAGAAAACCCCAAATGGGGTCATGAAGAGTGGGTCACAACTGAAAATGACTGAAAAACAACAAGTGTTACCATCATCCCCATTTTATAGTTGAGGAAACTGAACTGAGGCAACTTGTCCAGTGTTACAAGCCAACAAGTGTCTGGCGCTGGACTTGAATTCAGGTGCTCCTGACTCCAAGCGCTGAACAGAGTTAATTCTTAACTGATGAAGAAGAACTGCAGAATTTTAGGGCTGGAAGAAGCTTTTGAGATCATCCAGTTCCTCTCCTTGATTTTACGGATGAGAAAACTAAAACTCAGAAAGGTTTATGTGACTTGCTCAAAGGTCACATGGCTCATTAAATGGTAGAGCCAGAGGATCAACCCAAGGTTCCAGTCTAGAGTCCAGGCCTTTTCACTGTCCCGCACCCACTACTCCTTAAGAGAACAGGGCATAAGCACCAGGGATCATGCTTCCATCTTCACAAAGGTGAGCAATCCTAAGGTGTACCATTCAAGGAGTGCTGATGAAATCTGAAAGGGAACTATGCCAGGGAACAAAGCAAATGGATGTTAAATACAACAACAACATATCTAGTCATGGGAAACACCTAAGTGAAAGAGCAGCTTTTCCTGTAGAAAGGGGGACAGGGGGAGAAACTATTTGGGAATTGAAAAAGGAGAAAAGCTGAGTAGTTCATCTCTATTTAAACAGGAAGACTGAGGGTCACATAAAATAATGAAATCTTCTGGTCTAGCTGCCACAGCACAGGACCTGCTCAATCATCTGCCTGAGGTCAGAGGGCTAACTCCTGGCGGCCATCCTCATTCCTCCTTCATTCCACAGCTCTGGTCAGACTGGGACTCCC